GATTGCATTTTCTTCCTAAATTCTTCTAATGTCCCATTTTCGATTTTTTTCAGAATCATTCCAAGCAGCTACTCGGGAACTTCAGCGTATTTATGGCAAAGAAGAGCGTAACTTTTGAGTAATATTATGTGGAAAATTGTAAGATTGTAAACATTTTGCTGGATTTTAATGTAAAAACTTTTTTTTGCTTAGTTGTGTATAAAGAGAACCGTTAATTTAGTGTGTTAAAAGGGAAAAAGCTTTGAGAAGTGATGATAACGTAGAAAGCAAAAGATAAGATTGGAGAGTTGAGCAAAAGTTTAACAATTCAGCCACAGAATCAGCTTAAGAGATGTCAAATCTGACTGAGAACGAACGATTTCATCAAGATTCTATTACCCTCATAAACGCAAACTTGAAATGCCAATTTAGAACAAATCATCAAGAAAAAGAATTACAAAAGCACCCCATAACAAATCAGTGTTTTCACTTCACTTCCACTTAAGATTTTTAGGGGACTTTTTAACTTCCACAGCATGCCGACTTCTGTGTGGCCTGTCCGGTTCCAGCCGCCTGGTCTGTTTGGCTGATCTTGATCGTCGCTGGCTGAAATTAACAATGAAGTTCGACAAAAAAAAGACGTTTCTTTAAGTTATACGCACAAAGAAATGTGAAGAGGGATAAATGCTTAAGGAGAATGTATCAGGTAATTTATAACCTCTGCTCTCGAGTCAGTATCAGCGAGTCTCTGCTTAATGTCTTTTGCTATTGAGAAGAAAACTTCTTCCACGTTTAGATTTGTTTTAGCACTCTGAAATGTGAAATGACATTACCTTAAGTAAGCAAAATAATATGACCAAATGTAGTTTAAGTTGTTCTCATGAGATAAAAGATTTCACACAATGCTTGGCTTACTGTTTCGAAGAACTTGATTCCATATTCATCAGCAAGTGCTTGACCCTTTGCTTTTGGCACAGCCTGAAAAATGTGTTAAGGATACAAAAAAAACGCTATTAGCTGGATCAGTTGGGAATCAGGTAGCACGTAT